CGTGGTGCACTGAAATGCAAAAAATGGACTGCAGAAATAATGCTGGCACATCGTCAATGTACGCCGCTGACGGTTTGTAATTAGTTGCAATATGATGAACTTTACCACCTTCTTTCATTGGCTGAAAGCCGACACCGTGATTTGGTAACGTAGAGCATTAGCGCCGTCGTCTGTGTATTTCTTGTAATTCAACTACGTAGATATTGTGGCGTCTGAAAGTACGTGTAAGGGAATCAAATTTCGACAGTGACATCCATTCGATTCTGAGTTAGCATATACGAAGACTGGGACCAATGCTTCATTCTGAGGGGTCGTGAAAATTATCGTTCTACAGATCATGCGTCACCGTTAAATAGCATTACTTACTTTTGGTAAAGAATTAACCGTACTGGTATTGTACTCTGCTCTCTTATAGCAAGTGCAAGTCATTTACGCATGACTGAAAATATTACTGCTAACTGGCCATCCTCGCTTAGAACCTAATTAACAAATCTACAACACCATGAACTGGGCTCCAAACATCGATCCCACTAAATATTCAATTTCATTGCTGAACTGTGCTACTGATAGGGCATGTACGCTGATATTCATGCATACATTTACAACAGAACAGCTTTGATTTTAAACGATGCAAACAAATGACGAGAAATTTCTTTCGGCCAGGTCAGCGATAATATATAAACAATGTAAACGACGTGCACATGCAAGAAATAGCTTGCGAACTAGTAACGGAATAAATAATGTTCAATTAACAATGCCAACAAAGCGGCGTAACAATGCAAGATACGTCTACCCAAAAAATAAACATGATTCCATTAGCCGATGTATGGAGCAAGGCTAATAAGCAGCGTCATGATCATTTTTGAAACAAAGCAATGAGGTCTGTGATCTAGGACAGCATATGATGCCATGTAAAGGTGAACATTTTCAGGAACAGATCGAACCAGCACCAACAAAAGCGAACCTCACAAAACGACAACGCACTTAAGTATAACAACCACGTTCCTCAAATGGCTTACACACAATGTTCAAGCGGTTTAGTGCCGACATAAGGACCAACGAGTGGATTAAACCAACGCAACGAGAAACGACCGCCAAACACCGTCTGCATGCTTTTCCATCTGTCCTTTTTCTGATATCGTCGTTCCTGCTTTAACTGTTCCACTGCCTTAAAAACAAACAAAGTATACATGATTACGTACATCAGATTTCGAGTCGAGAATTTTACCGTCTCATCGTTGCAAATGGCAAAAATCTGCGTGCAGAGCATGACCATTGTGAAAATGGCGAAAAGAACCGCTTCAAACAACAAGACAGCTAAGAGTATGGTAGTCACAGGTGGTGAGAAGCTGCTGCAATCTGAAAATATTACCTGTAGCTTTGGAAAACTAACTTCCCTGCCCGTTCGAAAATAACTTGGCATAAAACGGACCACACACAAAAACGATTATTGGTGTTTAAAGAACATGAACGTAATTAAAACGATCTTTAGATAGTAAACCACAGTAAAGTGCAATACAGACTGATTCAAACAAAAATAAGATACAAACAGCGCAGATTTCGAGTGTCCAAGTTTTTCGCAAATCACTGAAATAACGACCATTTTAACTGACTACAGTTTACCAGTAGAACAACGCGTTTGGCGGTATCCGAAACATGACGATTGCAATCGCATGGCGGTTCATGAGGTCTAAATCTATGATATTCCTGTTTCCAGATATGACGATGGTAAGCAAAATTTCGCGCGGTATTCGATGAACTTTTCGGCACATCCAAAATGTGATTCACTTTACTGAGGTGGCAGAGACAACGATGTTTAAAAACGAGAATCGCCTTTGAGGTATAACAAAAAATCAACAAAGGTACAGAAAGTACAGACATAAAAATCAGTAGGCATCAAGATATGCTTATCCAAATACACTGACCAGTACGCATGGTATTCACCTGTATGACCTGAAGCACGAATGCATGACGTTCTTTTAAAATGTCTGAAACTGAACACTTCGCTTGACCACACGCCGAGCGATAACGAGGACTTACCTGTCACCAGTCCTGTTTGTCATTTACACTATCACTGTGGATGAAACAGAAATTACCATGATCCTCAAACCACGCAATTAACTGCATTGCTCAGTCAGTGTTAACTAAGTGGGAGAGTGATTGTATGACAATGACCCTAAGCCGAACGCGAGGAAATTCACCGACTGAGTTTATCATCGTTTTTATTTGAAGTACTCGACAATGGATCAACATAATAGCTGCATTTGGGCATCTCATGTGTGACAGTTTTCTTCGAGGTCACTAATTACTATTACTATAACAGATAAGATGGAAAGAAAACGATGATATTTGCTAACACTGTTGCAACATCTTATCGCAATTAATTAATTAACATCATTCATTGAACTGGACTGAAATAGCCAGGTTCACTGCACAGGCATTTTGGCGCAAACCAGTAGTCTGTGTTAGCAAGGCATTTTTGCGGTTGCAACTTTGAATCCATAAAACTGACACATGTCTGTTTCTACGAACTATTTGTTTTAACCCGTCATACCACCTCCTTGTCATCAGTCTTTTCTCAAGCACTCTTACGTATAGTTGCATGGGGTGTCTGCGCAGTTTCATTCTTCGATGTTTTCACATAATTCCATATTCACTTTCATTCTGCACACTGCATGAAAATACTCTTTCTCCATATGAATTTATTAAATGGTGCAAAGAACGAAACACACGTCTTCCATGCTTCCGTGAGGACTCTAGAAGGTCCAAGGGCCTGTCTGTTTTACACTTGGCGAGACCTTTACAAATTCCTGGTTTCGAAGGATCTCTTTCTACACTTCTCTGAAATGTTCATAGATCAGTAGCGTTTGGAAGTGCCTTCGCCATCGGTTGTGAATATTTTTCTCGTCGGTCAGCACCACTCCGCTTTCGTCATTTGCGTACTTCTGTTTACTGACGTCTCTTGTAATTCTTCATATTCTTATGTTAACTATTCACTGATGAATAACATGTGGAAAGAAATCAAAAAGGATAGAAGCGGACAGGAACCGATTTTACAGACGCAGACTGGCGATCACCAGACTGCGCCCTGACTTAATGATGTTATGCTATCATAACAACATAATCATAAACTAAAAACGAAATATTTTAAATTTAATTTCCGTATCGTGCTCATAAAGCTTTCCCTTGGTATACAACATCTAGGTTAAATAGAATATTAGATACAGGCGCACATAAATAATTATTCAGGCTAGGTCTATAGTTATATACACAGTTATATGAATGATTCATGGTTAGGGCACAAATTATGACAGAAGTTAAACAGTCAAATACCAACACGTTTCACTAGATGGACTGCAGGATCATCAGGGTTGCACTGACTAGAAATACCTGCCTGGAGGCATTTATGTAATAATTAATAAATATTAATTTGGCAATTGGCTCATCACATATAGTCAAAACGTTGTTAAACTGGCAAACTGAACAATGTACAATGTCACATCAAAACAAATCGGATCTTTGTCATTCTGACCCGACTTTGCGTATCATTTCTGTGATTGCGCCCCAGCTTTCAGTGATAATCACAGAAGGTGAGTATTTGCTGCATATTCCGTTTTTCATTGCCAACATATGCAAGGACCTTTTCATCAGCAGGCCTTATTTAGAGTGGTCTTTGTCTATGACAGACACACTGGTCTGAGTGAAAGAACCCCCTTCAGTAATCACGTGCTCGGCAATACCAAAAATGTCAGCCTGTCCAAGGCGGACCGCATCAAGGTGCTTCTTTATACGGATGTTCAACTTCCAGTTAGGATTTCCGATGTACTCTGCACTAAACTTCGTCGATAACATTTAACACTACCTCCGAGCCATTAATGGTCATGTACTTTTCAAACAAAATGCCGCCCAATATTCTGCCAGGCTTGAAGTAAAGCCTAAGCCCCTCGTAATACGTTGAGACACTTGGGTCGTTACAGGTGGACACAATTCAATTATTTGGATTCAAACTTACGACCATTCGATCAACGTCTCAATGTCAAAGTAAAGGTTTACTGAGCGTCTAAGAACAAAAGCACAGCGTCACACTGGTCCGCTTTCATAGTTATAAGAGTTACTGAACACAGGTAAACGCAAATCTAAAAAATTACTGTTACATTAATTGAAAATTTAAGCCATTAAATGTATGCTCTGCTATATCTAATAATAAATGTTAAACAGTCTTACTTTGCCACTCACGGTTTATACAATGCATAAACTTCCATACTGCCCAAGCAATGGCCTGCAATGAAATGGCAGCGATATAAAGCTAAATAACAAAAATAATTTAAAATCAATATGTTTCAGTAAAGTTACGGTGAACAGGACAAAAAACTTCTGGTTATTTTCACCGACGCAGTTGTTGACCCAAGGGCAGTGGTGGTCCATTTTGCGGATACACCTTTGGCAAACACTAAACAAATGGATATAAGACGACGATTAAAATTCACATCTAATAATTCATAAATATCAACAAATGGGTGTTTGTTGAAGAATGAACTTCCGCCTTCTTAAGGAATTAGATGGTGCGATCAATAACCTGGTCATGCTTTCGTTAAAACAGCGATCTGTACGAACAGAGATCTTGCATCGTTTACGCACAGTTCAAGTCAAGGCATTTTTGTTCCGTATAGAATCATCTGGAAAGCCATGTGGAACTGTGACAATGTTTTTATAAACTGTTTCTTCAGCTAATCATTCCGAAGCTCATGACGAGCGCATACAGCTATTGTTACGGACAGGAGAATGCAGAATGATACGTTTCACCACATTCTGTGACCTGCATTTTGACCATTGTTCGTTCTGCATAATGTCATAGGTAATAACTGCCTAACAACGCTTAACAATAACGAACAGACATGTAAGTTAATTCGGGTGAACTCTGTTTTACCACCACTAATCGCGGAGATATACATGAGCCATACGGAGGCATTATTCGAAACGGCCTGCTACAACTCGTTTAAGTGTTGATCATAGCCTCAAACAAACGAAAGCGATTTCAACGGTCTCAGCGAACTCTCACACTTCATTAAAATACTTTTACCGAAAAAAATGAGCGTGTCATCGTTCGCGTGAAACATGCGCATGGCCCAGTACTCGCCTGTACTGTTGTCAAACTTCTGCACCTACCGACGCTGTCTCCCCTTCTGAAATACCTTTCTTAAATTTCAACAAAGTTAATTAATTAATTAATGAAGAAGAACATTGAATTAAAAACTGCTTCCAGAAATGTCATGGCGCATCCATGACGTATTTCACTGAATTCAGAGACAAAACTTTATGCACGGAAACAACAACAAGTAATAAACACGAACAAGAGTGAAGCACTTTGGAAGAAGATCGAACATTCTACGCGACGGAAAACGATGATTCAAGAAGATTAAAATGTTAAAATTTTACATCCTTCTACAAAATACACAACTGACAGATGCCAAAGAAAAACCGATTCAAATGGGGGAGCGACAGATCGAAGTTTCACTAGTATAGTTCTTTGAGATAATAAATGGTCTAGTATGAAAAAACTGTCGCAGCAAGCCCACTGAAACTTTTATATTGCAATACATAAATCCGCTACAAACCGATACCAGTATCAAAACAATCCATAGGGCTGTATCAACTAACCATGAACTTTCGCTTCCTTCGGTGCAATACTACGATGGGAAAGAAACGAAAGTTTTTACACTGTTGCAAAGTAGGTCTTCTTTGACTTTCACGACTGAGCTATTTTGTCACCCTTCATGTCATGAAATTGATGGTGCGATGCTGATCTTCGCTTCGATGCCATCAGTTTCTTTGTTATATGCGTGCGGTATTTTTAAGACAGAGTCTACACCCACGTGACAAGTGCAACGTTTAGCCTCTGTGTCCTTCCCTCAAAAAGGTATTCATTAATCAACCTGAGAAGGCAGAAAGGCGAATGTCTCGACTGAGGCCTGAATTTCAGACCTACCATTTCTAAGCTCGACGCTTTACCGACTGCAAGACTGCGATATGACAATCAATAAGTATCGTCGTTCGATAAGAAGGATGGTGACTTCTACATTGTTAAATGTCTTTAATTCGAATATTGCAGGCCTCAAAGACGAAAGTTGTGACTCCCTGTAATTTGCTGATTTATTACATGTAAATTTTTATACATAGATTTATATTTAAATTCATCATGCATTGATCTGATCGTCCCTTCGTCTTTCGAAACGCATTCATTCATTGCTTTGGCACACGCTTTTCTATGTATTACTCTTCGTAATATGTACTGTGCAACGCAGGTTATTCCAGTCATATCGGTGCTCAAATTTTATCGATTTTACAGTTAAAAAATATTCAATGATGGGAAAAACTTTAAAATGCGATGCAATGTCTGAGCTACTGTTTCCATTTTTGAAAAGCGATACATAAAAAATCGTGTTTGCAACCAAAGTCAAATGAAAATGGCTGATTGGTTTCCCATAAACTACGGAATCATGTAAGGAGGTGGTCTACCTTCATT